CTTTGTAATTTATTTGATAGTAACATGAATCGAATGAATATGATCAATTGAACTTCTAACTTTTGCTCCTTTTTAGGGCCATGTAATTTTATTCAGGCAAACATTTATTTTCGATATTTCTATGTGTGACTTCTTTGAAACGGCTATTCCCTGTCAATGCCATTTCCAAACCAGTTGTAATGGAGAAGTGGCTAAGGGGAGCCTGCTGAAATATGAATGAAATCGTATTACTGCTGCTGATTAGATAACACGAGGGATTTGCAATGACCTTACACCTTACAACCTGACACCCCATCTTTCATTTTACGGCGGAATACAGGAGAACCTGCTCCACTCAAACCAGGGTTAGCAGGTACACGCCATGGGAAACTTAACCTCCAATTTCTCAACCTTTTGAATAAAATCACAGATGCATGCTACAAAGCAGGTGAGGCGCGTAGCAGTTCCGTGCGGCGCAGGCGGGTCCAGAGAGAAAAAGAATGAAGTGGAAAAACGGTTAACAGCATGATTGCATGCAAATTTCCCATCTTAAATTATCATAAGCAAACAGTCGGAGGTCTGGTCTAATAAAATCCCATCTGTGTTACTTCATATCGAGTTAGTATAGAGCTGCGATAATGAATTTTGTAATATCCCACCGACAGACATCTCAATCAGCCATTAATCCCGTGATTTTACTGCGGATTCACTCAACTTCCAGCGCCCCAAACTGCTGCATGATGCCTGACACATTTTACACCAACCCCGCCACAGAGCACGGTGTGAAACGTTGCACTGCTTTTCTGTGGGACTGCATGGGCCTCACATTTGAAGAGCAGCTTATGTTATGGGGCCTATTCAAATGTTGGATATTTGAGGAAACTTTAGGAAAATAGTGTATAGTGCCATATCAAAAATTATGAAAACATATAGGTGAAAATTGTGTTTGGTCCTATACTGCAATGTATTGATTGTAAATGAATAATAATTGTGCGATTTTTTTTTAGCACACAAGGTAGTGTGTAATCGACACAACCTTTTCACCATTCTCATGCTAAATCCAGTCCCTCTCTTTTCCAGAATCTGTTCCTTTAATTGCGACAATGGACTCACAACGCCGCAAGCTTTCATCAACTTGTGCACAAATAGGTGAGTATATATGTGTAACGCTTGACGCACCATCCCCACACTTCAACGTGACATTATTTTCGCCCACTGCAGAAAACAGATGCTGAGACTATAGCAGCATCATTTCACGTTTTGGTTCCGTTGCATAGCAGGAAATACGATGCATTTCTCTTCTTTAATTGTCACTTTTTGTCTCATAGGCCTACGTGTTCGTTCCCAAAATATCAGAGAACTGTCTAGGACTATATAGGCGTTTCAGTTCAGTTAAAATGGGAAAAGTGGTCTTATACTGTCTTAGAGTGGCACCTGGTGGCTGGGTATGGATGTGCAGTAGTGGGCGACTGGGAAAGGGAGTAGGGAAAGGCCTAAGCATCAATTCTATCTTCATACACCCAGCTTTTGTTAAGCGTGCCAGGGGTTAGAAATTACACGCGACACTATATATGGACGACTTTTTTTGTTGTCATGTTATCTTGTCTTCTTCATTTTACGTATTAAGTAGTCTAATAGCTGACCCTTGGCCTATGAATGATATGCTACTTAATTTTATTTCTTCAATTAGCCTATAAGGAACTCTTATTTTATAAGAGACTCCCATTGAAATTTACAGTATCTGTAATTGATATTGCACTCGTGTGGATATCCATGCTGTATCTATGTATCTTACACCAAGTTGTGGCCCATATCAGTTAGCCTATGCCAAAATATGATGAAGCATTTTAAATGCATACACAGAAATATGCACATAAACAAAAACTGCTATTGTCCGTATGAGTATAGGCTGCATTAACGAAAAATATAGTTTATTTCGTCTGTGCCAGGTCAGTAAGGTTGGAGTGGATTTAATTGATTGTGTAGTCAGGGAATGACATAAAACGAATCTTGTTGAAGTGCTAAACGAATTACCAGTTTGGCAACTCTTAATTGAGCTCATTTTATTTCATTCATTGGATCTAATCAAGTGACAAAGCACGCATCATCCCGTGAGCCTACTTTGCTCCATAGCAGCATTTTGAGCAAGGACGGCGTTGTGATCACTCATTGATTAACAATAATAAGATAAATAGAAACACATCATTATTTGAAGTAATGCAATGATGAGCCAACGAGGCTTGCAAATGTAGGCACCGGAGTGAAGAGACACTCAAGCGACCTGATTATTGGGATCCCCTTTCAACTGTTTTACACCGGCCTTAATATATGCAGGTCTTGATAGATTGACTCCAGGGAAAACTAAATGTATAATGAAAGCTTATTCGTGAGGAGGAATATACTAATGGAGGAATCTGATGTCCCCTTAATCCTATGTAAAAAGACTTGTCGTCTCCCTTATATTGACTGAATTGCTAATTAATGGCCCTCTATGGCGTGTCGCGCGCGCTAATCCGCAGAAGAGAGATAAAGCATTCTGAAGGTAAAAAAAGAAGCGGAAACCGATAATCCACTGCAATTCTAGTATTACTTTCAGAAAAATAATTGAGCAATCAACATTTCACTTGCTTGCATAAGCTACATAATACACGTAGACTGTTATGCCATTTATATGTTTTTCTTTTGAAATTATTATTATTATTTTTAGCCTATTATTTATATTATTATTTTAAAACATAAATCAGTCATTCTGGGTAATAATTTCAACCGCTAAATTGTTCACGAAATCCTCGCTAACACGCAGAATGCAGGTGATTGCTTTAGGCCTATGTCATATTCAAATAAAATGGGTCACCACTTAGATCATGACACATTAGACCCCAAATGAATTGCATATAAGGGGGATTTAAACAAATAAAATCCACCTGATATGCCTGACAGGGGCGCACGGATAGACATGCGCGAGAATCCTCAAAATAAACGGAAGAAATTAATGATGAAATGAAGACATGCAGGCTAAATTCACATCTTCAGTCAATGATTGCATATATTATCGGCCAGCTACATATGCACCTACAGTGGAGTGGCTAAACACACAGCACGAAGTTATTTTTTATAAGGAGGGAGGATGGAGGAATAATCATACCCTTGGTTTCGACAGCTCTCGCTACCGTCCTCAATGGTCCGGAGGCGGCTCTCCCATAAGAGCGCAAATGAGGTGTATATCAAGGGCTTTCACGGGATTAGCCCAATAACGTATTAGTAGCCCATATCCTGATATCTACGAGAATGGGGAGAAAAGACGCGTAAGGCTAAATATTCAGCAGTTTACATGCCGGCCTATTGCCTTATGAAGATGCATGCAACAATTTGAATCCTTTTTTTTATCAACTCAAGTTATGAAGAATTTGTGTGCAATTATTATTAGTAATAGTATTAATAGCAATGCATTCATAGACAATAATATATTATCAATTAATCAATTAATCTATTATCGGACATGTGGGGACTGACAAGAATTTCTTCCGAATAATTGTATGTAATGTTGCATGAATGAAGAGTTGAATGCTGTTTTGCATTTACAATGTTAACACACAGGCCTAAGGGGAAGTATAGTGGTCACATGTCAACTACTGTCAAAAGCCTGCTTAGAGAATAACCTCCATGCACACGGCCATTTATCTGCTAGGATCGTGGACATATGTTTACTTTACTTTTATGCGTCATGATCTTGAGGGAATTAGCGAAAATTCAATGGGAAATCAGCTTGAAGTCATTAAAAGTCCTTATACCAAATTTCTAGGCAAATGAGAGTCTTATCAGATTAAAAACCACTACAAATCGACTCCCTGAGAACCGCTGAGAGGTCCAAACGTACAGGATACCCTGCTAAGGACCGAGATAAACTGCGTAATTTTGACGAGCTAGAATGAAATGGTCACTTATGGCCTAAGCCAAGGCCAATTAACTTTTACCCAATTGGTGACAAATTAGGCTAAATGTGTGACTAGATTGTGTCACTTTACTTATGATATGGTTGATTTTGCTGGTCATCATTTATCTGGTAGGCTCGACATTGGCAACAACTTGAAAGTGAAAACATCAGTTCTGTGAACTGGTCCCTGCATGGGGTCAGCGCATCACGGTATCCCCATCATAGACATACTGTAGCGTTGCTCTTGTGCGCATTGCTTAGAGATGACTGTTTATGGAAAGGTCAGTTCATCCAGTCATCTTTATTGACTCGTTTCTTCAATGGGAAGAAGATAAGATTAGCAAGAACACAATGAATAGGCCAATGTTGACCAAATAAATGCATCATGCTGTTTGTTTGACTTGATTTTTAGAAATGATTGCCTTAGTTGGGTTAGTGTTCAATTCTGCAAAACGGGCATTCGGTGCGTCGTGGGTAGGCTACACTACACCGTGCATCCCGTCTCTCTTTACATGCTTTCATTTGGAAGAAAGATAAGCACCGTACCGTACCCCGCTTAAACACATTGGCAGACATCTCTTAGTTCCCCGCGCACCGGTTGGCTGGGCAAACCGTCATATCCACGTTGACGGCCTGTCAAAAAATGGGAGGGCTCTCGGTGACGTCAAAGGCGTAGGAGAGAGGCACAGTGGGACAGCCAGGGCGCAGCGAACAGCTGAAATGAAGAGCGAGCGGCGTAGTGTGCCTAGCCTCTGGATCTAATATCACCTACCTGTCCTTGTCACTCTGGTACTCCGCGCAGCTAGCAGTATCAGCCCGATATATATATTTGCTCCTGCGTTAATCAAAACGCCGTTGCTTTTTCATCCGACACGAATAATGCTGGGTTTCTTCTAAAGACATTTTAAGCCGTTTAAACAACGTTTTTTTCCCCCAACATTAAATTGCTTGAGGAGAGGTGTTGCTGTAAATCTTGACACCACTGATTCCCCCTTTCCCCTATTCGTCGGACGTCTCTGTTTTTTTGCTTGCACTGAGGGAACTTAATCCGCCTCTGGCAGCGAGTTTTGCGCGCTATCCTATCCATATGAACTCTATGAAGGATCCATTGAATTTGGACCATCACCACCACCACCACCTAACCGGGACTAAACTCTCCTCCACGCACCACACGGTACTAGCAATGGCCTCTAGTCTGCAGCCGTTGCAGCGGTCTGTGGACTCCAAACACCGGTTAGAGGTGCACACAGTATCAGACACCTCCAGTCCGGAGTCCGTAGGTAAGAATCACCCCGTGGTGCAGAGTACTGTCAGCACATGGCTTTGAGAGGAGGGATGGCCGTTTTTCTGTTGATAGGAAACATAAGATGTCTCCCTACAGCCTCTCTCAACAAAGGCAGTTTGAGACCGAGGACGTTATTATTTTATGTCTGCAAATAGTTAAGCTATTGGACAGACAGAGGATTACTCTCTTTTTGACTATGCAGATATTGTGATTGCGCCAGTAATTGGTTCCATAAGTTTCAGGGAACTTGTTGTTACTTTCCTAACCACCTTTGACTCCGGTGAAGTTATATATCTTTTTCTCATAATGTGTAATGTATTTACGCATATTTTCATAAGTGTAATAATTATAATCAGACATTTACATTGTTTAAATGTAAACCTATATTCGATGAATTACAAAATGTATAAACGTTTTGAAATACCATTTGTATAGTATTACCATTGTGCAAATAAAACAAAACAATCAATTTCATGCTGACATTGTTTTGTAGTCACGTTGTAGGCTATATTAACTAATTTGCATGTAGCCTACATGCTTCAAATAAGGAATCGTTACAGTATTAGTAGTTTTACCATGAGAGTAACATTTGATCCAAAGGTTTTTAAATGGGTTCCAATTTTACGAGGATACCTCTTATAATACCACCCAGAATAGGCTACTTCATGCCTTTGACCAACCCGACGATGACTGATGTAGTATTTGTTTAATGTCTCCACAGAGAAAGACTCAAAGGGCCAGAGCAAAACTGACGACTCTTCAGATGATCCTTCTAAAAAGAAGCGACAGCGGCGACAGAGGACTCACTTCACAAGCCAGCAGCTACAGGAACTGGAGGCCACGTTCCAGAGGAATCGCTATCCGGACATGTCTACAAGAGAGGAGATAGCGGTGTGGACCAACCTCACAGAGGCCCGCGTCAGGGTAAGGCCCTTAAGAAAAAACAAACACCATTCATGTGTATAATTTCGGGTGATTTGTGCCACTCATATATGGAGCTGAGGCAAGGATGTGTATTATTTCGCAGGGAATTTAGGCACGCATAATTACGCACTGCCAAAACATGTTGTCTTAGGGAAATAAAGTTGCATTCATAATATCCTTGGTAGTTAATAGGCTGCCTAAAAAACAAATACTCAGACAGGTTATTCTTTACAATTATATGAGTCAATTAACAAGTCACAAAATAGTAAAATACCATACATTAGATGGCTACGCCTATAATGTATTGTTTTTTTAGAAAATCTATAATGATAGGCCATCCACCTACTTTACGCATATATTTTTCCATGTAAAACTGTCAATATCTCTGCAGTGGATTAAATGGGAATGGATTAAATATACACATTTCCTATATTTAGGCTATAATATCACAGTATTGTAGGATATCTGACATTGCTGATAACTACATAATTAGGTTGTTATTAGTTGTTTTAGAAAACAAAGCATAATTACAGGCTAATAAACGTGTTAGCTGTTAGGACTATTAACATTCACCGCTGACAGATACCAATCTTGTTACTATGTTCGTGTGAATGAGGTGCAACGCTTGTATTTTGCGTTTGTCACTCTCGTGTTGTATAATAACGTCTTTGTCTCAGTATATGGAGGAATACACATCTTCAGACACCACATTAAGATGGTCCAACGACAGTTAGGAACGCTGTATGTGTATTGGGATTCTATTGGAATCAGGGCAGAATGCTCTGCATGAGAGAAAGTGACTCAATTAGGCCTTGTAGAGTTGCAATCCAACATATGATTGTATATGCTTTTCAAGCAATACCTTGTTTTGATTATGTAAATTATTAAAAGTTTGAGAATAACTCGTTAAAGATTTTTGGCATATCCTGTGTTAACAATTTTAGTTGTATATTTATATATTTTTTGCATATTTATAAGGTCGAGATTTGTCATTTGTGAGAAATTAATTTAATTGATTTACAGTCTGATTTTGACTTAAGACACATCTGAAGGCCACACATGAATACCACATCTGGTTCCTTGCAGACCAATTAGGCTACCCATCAATTACATTTTTGTAAATTGCACAGGATAGCCAACAAGTCCTAAAATACTTACGTTGGCCTGTTGGCTATAAAATAAAGCGCATGGGGTCTACATATTGCATTAATAGCCTATTATCAAATTCTGAACTCATATTTTTCTTTGTCGTAGGTGTGGTTCAAGAACCGGCGAGCAAAATGGAGGAAAAGGGAAAGAAACCAACAAGCCGAGCTATGCAAGAACGGCTTCGGTCCTCAGTTCAATGGACTTATGCAGCCCTATGAAGACATGTACCCCAGCTACACATACAACAACTGGGCGGCCAAAGGGCTAACTTCGGCCTCCTTGTCCACCAAAAGCTTCCCTTTTTTCAATTCCATGAACGTCAACCCTTTGTCATCGCAGACGATGTTCTCGCCGCCGAACTCCATCTCTTCAATGAGCATGACCTCCAGTATGGTGCCGTCCTCGGTTACTGGCGTACCCGGTTCGAGCCTCAACAGCCTCAATAACTTAAACAACCTTAGCAACCCCTCTCTGAATTCGGGAGTTCCCACGCCAACCTGCCCGTACGCCCCGCCGACCCCTCCTTATGTGTACAGGGACACTTGTAACTCCAGTCTGGCTAGCCTGAGACTGAAAGCCAAGCAGCACTCGAGTTTTGGATACACCAGTGTTCAGAATCCAGTCTCAAATCTGAGCGCGTGCCAGTACGCCGTGGATAGACCAGTGTAATACTTGAGAATACACGAACCCCAGTCAGAGGAACGAGAGACTACTTATTTTTTGTTTTCAGAAGGGCACTAGAATACTAAACCACTGAAACCCGCGATGGAGTTCCAAACTTAAACGGAAGTAATTAGGCATTTTTTTCTCCTAATTAATATTCTGTTCTACACCGGCGAGTGGAGAATGTATGGTACTTTACTTTCTAAGCTTGTTTATTTTGAGGTTTCTAATTTTGGACGTTAATTGACTGAAAGGTTGTATATATATATCGAAATATCATCTCCAGTTTACTGAGGCGAATGCTCTTGCTCTCTCCAGTTTTCTCAAGGTTCAATTTAACAAAGCATGTGAAAACCCTAAAGGAATAATGTTTTGCTTGCAAACAAGGGAATGTACATACTAAACGCACCAGTTGTGTGTTTCTAACATATTATAAATTTATTATTAAATGTCTGTGTGAATATCGATTTAGAGTAGAAATCCTGCGTATAAAAAAACGCCTCAAATGTTCCTGCGAAATTAAATTGGTTTTGCTCTGTGTATACTATTTGGTACGGAATTTTGTTTCGTTTTTTTTCAACAAAAAAATAAATAAACTATTGTGTTTTATTTCATGGAAGTAAATATATTGTTCAAAACGTTTTGTTAAGGATTTTTGTGCTGATCGAAGTGTTAGTGTGAGTTTTATCGAGTCTATAGTGCAGGGAATGACAGTGTGTCTATCGGGGTTCGATTATGCTAGCTACTAGGCCTACTAATCTAAAGCGAAAACAATGGCCCTCTCCAATACACATATGAGTCGAGACGCAGGGAGATGCACCGGTGGAGAGGGCGAGATGCCCCGTCAGATTAACTGCTGAATACATGTCTGCTTTTTAGCCAAGGTCCCCGAGTGATCACTGGTGCTTGAAATAACACTGGAATCAACAAACCGGAATTGGACCACACAACAAAGGCACGAGCTCATTACCTTCTGACACATAATACTCATGAGTGCTATGTATAGCCAAACAATGCACAGCACTGGACGTTTAAGATGCGCCTCTTGATGCAGTGGAAAGTGATTATAGACCTACATAACATATTCTATATCGTAAAACATTACCATAATCAATAATACCAATACAATGTTAGCCTCTTGTTTTTATTTTGACCTGTGCAATGTTCTACGACTCTCTCATAAACACAACGATTAACTACTGCAAAACTATTCTCTAGCCTATTGAGAGATAGGCTATATTAATGATATTGAGAGATAGGCTAAATGATAGGCCTATGTCGTCGTGCTCTGGGCGTAGGTGTTGATAAGGTACATATTTGCACTTTTGCAATATTTGTTGTGCAGATCTACAACAATCTGTCTTTTCCATAAGATAACAACAACACCAATCATAATGTCAATAACAATTGGCTAACTATGACTACGATAATAACAATGTTATTCTTGGCTCAATATAGTACATTAAACATATTTAAATGTGGCCTACTATTTTTTCCAGCCCATTCACCTTCTTTTACGCATTGTGTTGACATGTTCGATCCGCCATTGTAGTTTGTCTAGACAGTCCTGTTTATGATGTGCTGTGTTCCGTTATCAAATGCACCAGTGCGTTTATAGAAAATAGAAAATCTAAACAACAACAAGGCACCGAGAAAATATAATTCACAAGTTTGAACAAACAAAGAGAGGTATTTAGCTCGGGGACGGAGGAGGCTGGGACGTGTGATCTGATGACAGGGCAGAGCTCGAGATGAAAATTATCAGATGAAAAATTGAAGAGTTACCACTGTTGGCCACATTAGCTAACAAGAAAAATCCACTTTCAAACCTTCAGCAGACGACGAGGGAAATAGCCTTCCATTCGAAATCAAATGCACTGTGCAGGGTTGTTTATTTGGCCAAATGGGATTATTTCATATTTTCAAGTGAGCTATTGTTCATTTGATAATGTGTTATTCATTATGCTCATGCAATGTATGAAACAATAATTGACCTAATTTAGAGAGAAAAGTTGGAATCCTAGTTGTGCTGTAGCCAAAGCCAGTCACTATTTTACAAGCGCGTTGAGGCTCATCAAATATACCCTAAAATGAAAGTTATTCTGGTCAGAAAAAAATATTGGGGGAAATTAACCTGGAATAATATCATTTTCTGGGCTTCTTGTTGTCCCTAACAAGCCTGGTGAAAATGTTGCCCTTATAGCAGCATCCACCAGCTGGAGCTCAGGCTACACCAAACAAACCTTTTCCATAAAAAGAGCCCCCCTAAAATTTTTCCTAAAGACCTGGAGGCCATATATTTTCAATTTCAGATCCGCTCGAGCTTGATGGAGTCAGTAACATGAAGCAATAATAGGCAGACAAGGATAAGTCTTGCAGCCTGGCGAATACGCAGTCTGCGTCTCAATACACATCCCAATCAACATTTGGGCGCAGAGGGCCTGAAGAGACAAGTCTTCAGGGAGACATCTCACTCACCCAGAAACCGCCCAAGACTCCAGACCTCTTCTTCAGTAAAGCATGGACTACCCGGTAAGAAATATATTTAAATGTTTTCAATAAATTACAAAAATCTAACAGGGTTGATAGGCCTATATTTTGGTAATTGAGCACAAGTGGTTTGTTTGCTCATGCATTTTTTTCCCGTGACTAAATTATTTCATGTTTTTGAATTTAAAATTATGTAAAATGATTTTCGCTTTTTTAAATGTAGGAAGGAAATCAATTTGACCAGATTTATTTTGATGCAGCTCAATTTTACCTCCAGCAAAGCTAACGACCTAAATCATATTTAAAACGCTTCGGTTTGATTGCTGTCATTATTGAGATTCATTTTAAAGCCATGTAGACAACCATTCAAAAGTAAACTCAACTCCTTGTTTCATGAAGTATTGTTATTTCAAGAGCTCATCCTCCACTATGCGGGGCCTACTTCGCAATTATTACACAGTGTCAACGTGTATTAGGCTACCACAAACATCACCAATATGACTAATAACTACTTCGAGGAAACTTTAGAGAATAAGCAACATTTTGCTACCTTTTTGAAGATGTGTTACCCTTTTGCAGTTTTTTTTTAGTTTGTTTGTTTTATTGCCATTGTGATTGTAGCTTACTCTTATCATAAATAGAAAATATCACGAAACATAATGTGAATGCTGATTCAATTCGTTGTCTAATTTAGTCACCTCGTGTTGGGTTTCTTATGATAAGGAAGTGTAACAGAAAATGCAGAGACCCTATCACCTCTATTCCACCCCTGGGAATTCAAATTAAGCAAGTGAGAGCACACATCCGTGCATGACTCGTTACTTCTAATCTAAATAATTAACAAGCTCTCAATATTCATGTCATGGTGTGCCAAACATGTGAGACATTTTGCCAATATGGTGTCTATTTGTTGTCCAATTACACACACCAAATTACATGCAACTCTGATCTTCTGAAAGCTATTTTCCACCGACTTTGTTATGCACGTCAACTTGTTTAGGTCTTTCTGTTCTGTGCTAAATGTGCTCCACATGCCCTTGCAATTTTTCATTTCAGATACATGGGTGCACAAGTTGAAATAAATGCATGAGCAATTATCTATTCAATTTATTTTGTATTCAAATGTCAACCAAATCAAGCATAGGTTTTGTCATCTTATTGGGTTATTATATATAATTCATGAACAATCTTAAGCAAATAGAAATTCATGTTTTCAAAATTGAAATGCATTTTTTCATATGGGCGCCAAGCAGCATTGACGGGCGATTATTCAATAGAATCATGGAGTTTCTTCTCTTTTAAGCTGGGAACGGGGTGAATTAGGTCTTAACTACCGAAAAAACTATTTATATATTCATCCTTTGTTTTTACCAATGTGTCAAGTTGAATTATAGTATTTCAAAAGCTACCAATTTATTAACACTTTCAAAACTGTTGCATTTTAGGCTAGCTTGGCAATGGCGGAATTGGCGACATTATTTGACAAGAATATGCCTACTTTTTTGTCAAATACAACATTCCCATGAGTTAAATTGGCTAGCAATAAACAAACAACTATTGAGCAGGCCTACATTAAAGGTGTTGCTTAAATGCAAATCCCATTCAGCCATGGAAAGGTGCACGTCTTCCTTTTTATGTTTCGATTGCATTAGGCTTTACAAGGCAAGTTGGTAATGTCATAATCAGTGAAATATCAAAGAGAATGGCAAGCCCTCTTGAATTGGCTGGATAGTAGGAATACACATTGAATAATCTCAGACAAACTCGTTCATGCTTATCAATTCCAATTATTCTCCTCTCACACACACAAGCACAGGAATCCACACACATAAACGTTGGCCATACCACTCTGGGTCAGTGGGGGGCTTCTAACCAATCATAGCATAGGGGTCGCTGCTAGAGGTCACATGAGCTGACCTCACACATTCTCACCCACATGCATGCATGCACACACACACACACACACACACACACACACACACACACACACACACACACACACACACACACACACACACACACACACACACACACACACACACACACACACACACACACACACAAGGAGGCCCTCCATTACAAGATGTAATAAAAGTATTCACTCTTAGCCAAAGGGGTCTTCCATAGCTAAATGTATACATCACCTGGTCTTCGTTTGTGCGAATAAATAAAACATAAAAAAAATAATATATATATATACATATATATATATATAAATGGTAGTTGCATAGACAGTGTAATTACAGTGTAGGAACACATTTTTGCATAAAACATCTGTTATACCTGTTTGTGGTAAATAATTGTACATAACACAAGTGAGAACCTTACAATAAAGGGGTCCTAAAGTGTATGCTTGCATGTGTGCACACCTGTGTGTGTGTGCGCCTGTGTGTGTGTGTGTATATGCGTCTGCTTGTGCTGTGAAGGCTGGGAACTTGCAAGTGTGTGTGACACGGACAGCTCTAGCTCCACTCACCGCGGGCGTCCCGTTACCGAGGGCCGCTGGCTGGCCGGCC